TGCTATGGAGCAAAAATGAGTCCTGTTTGTTTCAATCATCAAAAAAGAATTGGAATAGGAAAAACTGGATGGGAGAATGCCTCCCGGAGAAGCAACGTCTCGTCACATTGCTTAGAAGTGGGAAATTTGTTAAGAAACAGTATTTACCGTGTTATGATTTGGCCATGTAGAACACACCTTCCCTGTATGCTGCTTGAGATGTTGGGATAGCTGCCAGCTCTTCTACCTAAAGCCATTTTCTGAGCCCCCAGGCCACTTTGCCAAGAGACAATGTTTCTTTTTACAAATGCATTTCAAGATGAAGAAGGCAGCTTGTCCTCATGGATTCTATTCAAACCCCAATTTATGTCACCCCTCCTGCTCACAGTCACAGTGCAAACATCACTGTGAATCCTGCAGTGAGCTAAAAATATCTCCCAAAGCTGCCACCACAGCGAAAGCCATCAAGCGGAGCTTGTTATAAATAGCCCAGAGTGCTGTCACTGCAATCATAGTCCCCATTGTGCCTTGGATCCTACTTTCTGGCCCAACCCTCCAGCTTTAAATCTGTACAGACCCAGGGCTGTGAACTCTCTCTACAGAACAAACATTTCCTCCCCATGAAAGGGTCTGAGGTACATCACCTGAAGTAACTCCACTGTGGTATTCTGCACAAGGGCAGCTTGCCCACTCTTAGTTCCTGGGCTGATTGCTTTAGTTGTAACTCAGGAAATTCCATTCCATACTTTCGCTTTTCCTGACATTCAACCCAAGGGACTCCACAAGGAGAAAGCTGTGTTTTGTTTTGTTTTGATTCTGCTCCCCCCCCCCCCCAAGCATAGTTTTGCAATGAGTGTTTGTTAGATTCTTTACCTTGTTTAGCACCCTGGAGGAGGAGGAGGCCTGCCAGCATTCCTCTTGGCTCAAGCTATTCACAAGTGACCTGTTTGCTCCTCCTTTTTTATTGTATGATTCCCACTCAGAAATGAAACAAATGATTCCTGCTCAAAAATGAGGCAAATCAACGCATTCTTTTCCCTCCAACTAAGACCTTTCTGAATATGCATGACAATAATTCCCACTACTGTTAGCCAGCATGGCTAAATAGGACTTGTCTTCAATTAACATAGTAATTACCCCTGTACATGTGGAAGGCTCCTGTTTGGGGACTATTACTGTAAACATTGGAAGCCATTTGTGCTGGCTTGATGTCAGCATCCCAACTTAGGAATGAGCAAAAGACTATTTAAAATCAGAATCTGATGAGAAAAGCAGCTATGCGGTTTAGGATCGTGCGCAAACTGGAAAAGTTCTAAATTTGTAGGCAATAGCAAGATGGATTTTGACATCATTAGTCCTCCAATTAAAATTTTCATCTTTCCTTTAATGAAAAGTGCTAGCAACTTCTGCAATCTATTTTTAATATTGTATCTGCTCCAATTTGCACTGTTTCTTGCAGTTCTTCATGAAATATGGAGCTTCCTACAATTTATTTTATTTATTTATTTATTTATTTGATTTGCCAATTGTTTACAAGATAATAAGTATAAGTGTATACATAGTTATGAATACATGAAATGGATACATATAAGAAAAATAAAAGAAACAATAGGACAGGGACGGTAGGCACGTTGGTGCGCTTATGCACGCCCCCTAGAGACCTCTTAGGAAAGGGGTGAGGTCAATAGTAGACAGTCTTAGGTTAAAGTTTTTGGGGTTTGGGGAAGAAACCACAGAGTCGGGTAGAGTATTCCAGATATTGACCACTCTGTTGCTGAAGTCGTATTTCCTGCAATCAAGTTTGGTGCGGTTAACCTTGAGTTTGTATCTATTGTGTGCTCTTGTGTTGTTATGGTTGAAGCTGAAGTATTCATTGACAGGTAGGACATTGCAATGTATGATTTTATATACCATACTTAAATCAGACCGAAGACGGCATAATTCAAGGTTTTCTAGTTCTAGAATTTCAAGTCTGGTGGCATAAGGTATTCTACAACGAGTAGAGGAGTGGAGAACTCTTCTTGTGAACTATTTCTGGACTTTCTCAATTGTGCTAATATCAGATACGTAATGTGGGTTTCAGACTGATGAACTGTATTCGAGTATTGGTCTAGCAAATGTTTTGTATGCTCTGGTTAGTAGTGTGATATTACCAGAGAAAAAGCTACGTAGGATTAGGTTAACAACTCTTAATGCCTTTTTGGCTATGTAGTTGTAGTGGGCTCTAGCACTTAGATCATTAGAGGTGAGTATTTACAGAGCTTGGATCATCAACAAGATCTTGACTATTCAGCTTGTATTTTATTTTCAGATTTTTTTTGCCAATATGTAAGACAGAGCATTTATTTGTTGAGATTTGAAGTTGCCATTTGTTTGACCATTCTGATACATAGTCAAGATCTTTTTGAAGGGTAGCAGTATTATCTGTGGTATTGAACAGCTTTAAATCATCAGCGAAAAGAACGCAGTTGCTCTTAATATGATCACAGAGGTCATTTATGTAGAGTATGAAGAGAGTTGGTCCTAGAACACTGCCTTGGGGGACACCACTATTGACAGGTACAGAATTTGATAGGACACTCCCAATTTTGACCATTTGTTGTCTGTTTGACAGGAATGCTTCTATCCAGTTATGCAGTTGTCCAGAGATACCATAGGATTTTATTTTTAGGAGTAGTTTGTCATGTACCACTGAATCAAAGGCTTTACAGAAGTCTATGTAGATTGCGTCAATTGCTTTGCCCTGATCGAGTTGTGTCGTCCATATGTTTTTGCAGTGTAAGAGTTGCAGATTACAGGATAGTTTTTTTCTGAAACCAAATTGTTTATTGGAGAGTAGGTTGGTTGTCTCTAAGTGGAGGATGATGGATTGGTTAATAATTGATTCCATGACTTTACAGGTGACACAGCATAAGGAGATTGGTCTGTAATTTTCAACTAGGCTGGGGTCTCCCTTTTTGAAGATGGGGATGACCGTGGCTTGTGACCATAAGTTAGGCAAGGAGCTGGTCCTGAAAGATTTTTCAAAGATTATGCTTAGAGGTTTGGCTATGGCAGTGGATAGCTTTTTTAAGAAGTAGGCACATATTCCATCCAGTCCAATAGATAGAGATGGTTTTAAATTGCGAAGTGCTTTTTCAACATTGTCTTCTGTAAAATCGATATGTATTAGATCATTGTAGTTATCTGTGGTTCGGCTAGGAAATACTGGGCATGATCCATTGCTGTTTACAAATACTGAGCCGAAGAATGTGTTAAAGATGTTGGCTTTAATGGTGTCATTGTTGCAGTCTTTACCATTAGGTCCTATCAGGGGTGGGATGGACCTTGAGTCTTTTAGTTTGTTGTTTACAAAATTGTAAAAAGCACGGGTGGAATTGGTGCTTAGAAGGTTTTCCTCTTGTTTAATGTGATAATTCGTGCATTCAGTCTTTATCTGGTGGCATAAATTTTTGTATCGGCTTTTGAAATTGGCAACATGACCAGATTTGTTTTTCCGCCAGAGTGATCTCTTTTTGGATTGAAGTTTCCTTATTGTTATGGGTAATCTGTTTTTTTGTTTTGTTTTGGGAGTTGTTGTTGGTACATATAGTTTGATGACTCTTTTGACTTCAAGTAAAAATATGTTGTAATGGTCTTCAACAGTATTGCATCCAGTGAATAGAGATTGCCAATCAAGGGATGAGAGATCGTTGTCTATAAGATCATAGTTGCCTTTTTGAAGTTATAATTGGGGATTACGTCATTGTGGTGGTTTTTGTGTGGGCGTATGTTGAGACAAAAGTCAATCATATTGTGGTCACTGCTGGAAAAGGGCCCTTAACTCTAAATACATTTATTTCCACAAATATTTTTATCCTCTTTTATAAGAATCATTGCTTTCCTGTACTGTCTCTATATTTAGCTGAAATTTAAATTAACTATATGTGAAAGTCTATAAGCTTTTACACTAATTTTCATAAACACTGCCTCTATATTTCTTTAAATTAGATCTGGCTTTGAATACATTTCTAGGATTTTTCACTGCTAGAAAAATAACCAGTTGTGGTCAACAGGGGCAAATATATTTGTTTATGTGCCCATTTGGTACAATTAAACATAGCCACAAAGCTTACGTTCTTTTCAGTTGTAAGAGAAGGTAATTAAAAGAAGAGAAGCATATGGATTGTAAACCATGATGCCTAGAGACCACCAACTATTTGTTATCTTTATGGGTGCCGATACCATTATGTCTTTAGCAGATGTGCATTTCTGGTTTCTTCAGCTACTGCTATTTTATTTCTCTTCTGAAAATTATTTGGGCTTCACCTAATAAAAACACCACACTTCAGGAAAACAAGAAGCATTTTGAGGTGCTTAAAACTTTGAAGGATCTTGGTTTTTTAAAATAAACATTATTGCATTAATTGATATTAATGCAATAATATTAAGTTGCTCAGAGTTGCCGTAACCAAGAGCTGGGTGGCAAATAAATTTGATAAATAAAATCAGAATAAATAAAATGAATATGCCTACTCCTGCTTGGACCTATTACTGTATATTGGAGGAACACATCACTGTCTCCAGACTGCCCATTCTCAATTTTTTTTATGATCTCTAAAAATTCTGCTTTTCCAAAGTTAAATAAGCATGTATTTACTTCACACCTTTATCCTGTCTGGGGAAGATTAACCGGACAATATACCTTTCCACCCAGTAGTGGGAGGAATGGTTTACAGATAGTCACCTCTGAAGGTTGAGCCATGAATCCTGTATGTGTTAGGAGGATACACCATTTTGTGAAGTATTCAGAAGTATTCATACCACTTCCTATAGTGGTATGGGGACAAGATTATTTATTTCTCCATTTCTTGGGGTTTAGGTGATAAGCTGTTTCTTGTGCAAGTGATGGCCTGAGGTATGTTTCACATATATATCTCAAGGATATAGAAAATATTCTTGGATAGGGTTTGCTTGTGGAACAATCAGGATTATGCTTTTGTTTGGATTTTAGCTATCTAAATCCATGAATATTTGAACACAGACCTTGCATCCTTCTCGTTTAACACAAAGATGGAACATTCTTAGGAAGTTGGTGCTCTTTGGCTTCTTTCAGGACAGTGTCCAATTCTCAAAGAAGACTGATCATAATAATGGCAAACAATGACGTGTGGTGCCATGTGTCATGCCTGCAGTTTCTTTGTTGTCATGTGAGGTTAGTATTAATGCAAGGATGTTGTATGCCTCCCATGGCCTTTGAGCCCCAAAATCTAAAATTCGTGGAATAGCCTCTGGAACTTCACACCACTTGTGAAAGTGAGGAGCATTCAACAATATAAATGGAAAAGGGAAGATAAAACCCTCCAGCTAACTCTATCCTGTACAGCATCAGTCTGTTACATTGCAACTATGTCTGGCATTCAGCTAAAAACAAACAAACCATCAACCTCTTTTCATTACAAGACTGAGCTCACAAGAACCTCCACCTCTTTTGTAGGGAAGATCTGGCTGAGAATTTGATCCCAACCTTCCTGCCTCACTGAGACTCAAAGAACCAGAACATATATGGATGAGGAATATGGGAGGGTAGAACTGGCAGAGGGAACAGAGACTACCGCTTAAAATGTTGTCCAAATCTACAGAACTAGGAAAAGAATGATAAGCAAGTCTGAGTAGAAACTATTTTCCTGTCTTGCTGCAAAGCAGGAACTGTTCCTTCCCAACAGGAACAGTTGGCAAAGGATGCCCTGAAATGCCCTGAAATGGCATTTCCAAAATGGTACAATGTTTCCTTTAGTTGTATAATAAGCCTTGTTAGTAAATATTAGCATTTTGGTGGACTCGGAGGGTGAATCACCCATGAGGGCAGAACCTGAATGCCATATATGCATGTCTTTCTAGAGGTTTGGTCTCTGTTCAGATATTCAAATCTCTGTCCAATAAACACATGCCAGGGTTTTCTCCTCCTTCTCCCCTCCCCTTCTGTGATTCAAAGGGCAGTTTCACTCTTTGTACAAATATATCTGGCATTATTCCCTGGCTTGTACTCAGGGACCAGTAGTTATTCAAAATTGTGAGTAAAGCATCCATAGTAAGAAATGTTTTCAAACTTGCAAGAAAATATAATTTGGGAAATTCTTCTCACTCTACCTCTTGGTCATACCACCCAACTTCATTTTTTCCCATAAATAAGATGCAGGCCACCATAACTGAGGGGTGACACTATCCGGTTTGGTGTGAATCTGTAGAATTATCACTCTGTCCCTCTGCTCCCACAAGAGCACTTATTCCTATGGTAGTGGGTTTTAGAGTCAGATGTTGATCAGAGGGCATCTTGATTTTCCATATAATTCAGTTAGAGAAGTAAATGGGTATGCTGTTTACTCACAAACGAAATAGGTAATAATCTTATCATTTTCTCATAATCCACTCTCAGAGGATAAATTCAATCATATAAACACAACAACAGGATTTAATAGCTGAAAAATCTCCCCAATTTATAAGCCTTGTAGTGGCTGTCTTTGCTAAAATCTGCTTTGGGATTTGCTGAAACCTATAGTGTCTTGTGTGTCTTTTTAAATTATATGGCTTAAACAGTACCTGTTTGTTCTGTATTTACTTTTCAGTGTTTCAATAACATGCGTTCTACATGTACTCCATATATAATTTGGATTTATTTTGTTTCCTCTGAAACTTATATAGATGTGGTAGTTATTCAAGAAATATTACAGAAGCCTAAAGGAGTGCTATCTTCTCATGTAATATATGTATATTTCTTCTGCTGCCATATACTATGCTAGTTTTTGCAGTTATTTGAAATAAATACTGCTAAACTTCTTTCCTCAGCTGTTTTTGCTCTTGCCCCTTCCCTTTTACTGTTGTCACTCTATTATTGCACAATTGCACAAAATATAACCAGGACAATAACTGGAGTGGGGTAGCAATTCATATAGTCATTGGTTAAGAACTGGGAAACCTGGGAACCATTTATAATTTCTTCATGTTTCATATTTTCATATGTGAGAGAATATCATACATGCAGTTATTCAAGATAAAGCCAAGAAAAGCTGTAAAAAAATCTCACAAATTTCCCTCAGCTGAAAAGCTGTGTCATCTTGTCTTAAATAACAATAAATTGAAAGATAACTATTAGAGTACACTTTATTGGGGTGTATTTTTGTTGTACTATGGGAAAAACAATAAGGGTTAAATTAGCTGAGGGTTGGTGTCAGGTTTTAGTGTGTGTATGGAAGAAATAATTATCCATGGGTTGAGAACAATCTCAATCAAGGTGGAAAGAATCAGGTGTTGCTTCCACCTGATGGGGCAGAATTGTTGGGAAATTGAAATGAGTTTCTTTCAGACCTGGATGCATTTCCATTTTACCAGAGCTTTCCCTTCTGAAATTATTGATGGCATTTTGAAGTGATCCATGATTATCTTCAATTCTGCTAATTTTAAATTCAGAGAATGAGAGGCGAATATGATGCAGATCTTGGAGAATATAGAAAAATTATTTTTAAAAAAAATTATCCTCAAGAAAGGGGGAGGGGCAGGAAATAGAACCTTGGTACTCTATGCGCTGAAACATGTCTACATTTCAAAACTGCTTGCTTTGTCTGGGCTACTGCAGGGAAGCTAGAATGCAGACAGTCCTCTCACAGAACCAGTGGTGGGATTCAACTGGTGTAACAATTGGTTTGGTGAGTGTGCGCTTCATCAAAAGCACGCTGTGCATGCACGCAATACATTTGAAAATAGCAACAAAACTTACTTTTTACTGCAATCCTGGTGAGTAAAAACAGCTGAGGCCAATCAGCTGGGCTTCAAACAAAGGAAATATAGGACAGAATAGCGCAGGGGTGGGCGGGGCCAAATGAAAGTCGGAACTACCGGTTTGCACAAACCGGTCCGTACCAGTTGAATCCCACACCTGCACAGAACCTAGAGCTCAGTAACAGTAATGGTAACAATAATAGTAACAGAAAGGGATCTTCCTTGGATGTCATCTCGTCCAACCCCTTGCTCATCCAGGAGACTTACATCTCGTATTTCTGATGGATGATTGTCCAGTCTCTTTTCAGGCTTTGGCGGATCATTCTTATGTGCCCAAAGATGGGAAAATATAGACATATCTTTAATGGAAGAATAGACTGTGAAGATGGTAGAACTTACAGAAATGCCTACATTGAGCTGTCTGATTAGGGATGGAAAAAACAACTACTTTTATAAAAGACCCTTTATGGATATTTTGCTGAAAATGGAAAAATATGAACTGGTGATTTCAGGAGTTAGCCATTAAAAAGGACTGTATATGAGGAGAGGGGAATTATGATATGTAATTTTGAAGGGGGAAAATTATATCAAGCATGCCTATATTTGCTGTAAAATTTTTTGGATATTTTAAGTATCTTTTTTTCTTTTCTGTGTCTTCCCTTTCTAGTGTTTTCAATACTTTTTTCTTATCTTTTTTCCTTTCTTCCTTTTCTTCTACATTTTTCATGTTTATCTTTTAACTCTATAATTGTTTTTAATAATTTCCCTCTCCCTCTCCCCCACCCCTTGTGTGTAGGATTTGGGGGACCACACAATGAGAAATAGAACCCCACTGTCTCAAAATCACATTTATAACTGATTCTGTTACACTGCAGTTGAGGTGAAAGTAAATCAGCTCTCCACCAGTGCTAACGTTATTGGAACATGGAGGCCCAGAGCTGCTTTCAAACTACAGTAGCTGAAAAACCTCATATTGAAGCGCTCTGGATTTTTGCGTTTATTTTGATTTGTTGTAGTAAGTCATAAAACTGCTATGTACTGCAATGAAGTGGGAGCTACTGTAGCTAGAGCAGTAAAATAGAGACTACCATTAAAAAAAACAACACCTTTTTTAACATTCAAGTGGGCAGTTGGGAATTGCTATCTAGAATTTATTGACGTCATAGTATTTAATCTTTGCAGGATTTTTAAAAAGAAATACAAATTCTGCAATAATTGAAATGAACAAAGGTTTAAACTACAGGGAAAGTTTTGAAAAGTGTATTTTTAAGAGATAATATGCATTTGAAGAAAATTAGAAACCAGTTATTGGCCTGAATAGAAGTAAATGTAGCCTCACCATCTTTTAATGGAGGCATAAAGATTTGTCCAACTGAAATAAAAAGAGTTAAATCCAACTAATGTTTTCAATAAATAAAGTTATTGAAATCATTCAGTTTAACTGAATTATAGTCAGCTTCAGTGAAGAAAGGATTTAGATTGGGAACTCTAAGCCTACTACATCTCACCTGCAAAAATCTAAATGTTTCTAGATAGCAGCAAAGATATTCAAGAAACTAACTCTTTGCTGCCATCCATTGTTAGTCAGTATTTTTCCAGGTCAGATACTGTATTATATAGTCCTGTAAGATTCTCTTTCTCAACGCAATTGTGAGAAAGAGTTTGGAACTTCTTTTAAACTATAGAACACAATTTTATTATGGTCACTGGCCAGTGCAAGAACAATAGAAAAATATGAAGACCTAAATAAGGTTTTTATATCAGACATAAGACCAGAAGTGGTATTCAGCAGGTTCTGACCAGTTCTGGAGAACCAGTAGCGGAAATTTTGAGTAGTTTGGAGAACCAGCAAATACCACCTCTGACTGGAGATTTTACAGTATTCTTCCTCTGCCACACCCACCAAGCCATGCCCATAAGAACCAGTAGTAAAAAAAATTGAATCCCACCACTGCATAAGACCCTAAATAAGTACATTATTTAAGTACTTTGTAAATACAAAGAATAATAGCTTTGTGATCCACAGACAAATGGTTATGAATCTATATATAATTTTAACTTTCTCTTGAGCATCATTTTTTTTAAGCTTTCTCTCTCTTTCTCTCCATTTTTCAAGGAAACTTCAGATTGCTAAGCCAATTTGTATCTTATAAGGCAGAAAAAAAAGATTGAAATTTCTAAATGTAAAAATTGGGCTGTCAGGCAGTTTGGAGTAAATAAACCAAGTAATTGCATTTAAGTCCATTGTGATTCAGAAGTACGTCCATCTATCCATTGACACTCATTCCCAGTAAACTGTGTATTGGATTCAACCTAAATCAAAATGGCCATGTACAGTATATAAAGGTGAATGAATCTCACATTGCATCAGTCATAAGTCTCATCTAAACAAGCAAAAAACCATTTGCTTTTTAATTACATAATTTGTGCTACAGTAGATTATTCAAAGTCAGACTTTAATCATGATACTGACTGGAGAAATAAGAATTGCACCAGCTTTATTGCTAAAATTTTAAGCCTTTCATCCTGTGCTTATTAACTAGGAGTAAGCTAAGTGGAATGAAGTGCTGCTGCTGGATTATACATTGGGTTATAACATTGGATTAATGTTATTGATTGATTAAGGGTTCCTGTGTCCTAATAATGTTCCTCAGTTACCTTTGCCTGGTTGTTTCTAATTCTTGCATCCTGAAAATTAATTCTAGAAGTCTCAGTAAAACAACAGTGGGAAAACCCAGCCCTGATTGAAGTGTCTTTTTTGTCAGCAGAAAAAGACACTGCAAGAGGAAGCTGAGCACAGGCTTCATTGTACCACAGTGAAATTCAGATACTTTACAGAGTCTTGCTTTAATAAGATTGTGTTCTGAGGTCTCAATACTTTAGCATTTTTTCCTACTAGAGTCCTTCTAGTGATGTGCTTCTGCTTCTATCAAAGTGGCTCTGCTTATACAAAGAAAGAACATTTGTAAGAACATATTTGTATATTTCAAATTACTTTGTAAAAAGTACAGAGAAGAGCAACTAAGACGACTAAAGGCCTGAAGACAAAAACATAGGCGGAACGGTTGCGGGAATTGGGTATGACTAGTCTAGAGAAAAGGAGGATTAGGGGAGACATGATAACAGTATTCCGGTGTTTGAGGGGCTGTCACAAAGAAGGGGAGATCAACCTATCTTCCAAAGCTCCAGAAGGCAAGACAAAAAAAATAATGGATGGAAACTAATCAAGGAGAGAGGTAACCTGAAATTAAGGAGAAACTTCCTAACAGTGAGGACAATTAACCCATGGAACAGCTTGCCTCCAGAAGTTGTAGGTGCTTCATCACTGGAGATATTTAAGAAAAGACTGGACAGCCACCTGTCTGAAATAGTATTGGGTCTCCTATTTGAGTACAGGTTTGGACTAGAAGACCTCCAAGGTCCCTTCCAGTTCTATTCTGATTGATTTAAACTTTGAAATATTTTATGTACATTATTTTAATATAATTGGAATGGCCAAGAATTCTGTTTGAAGAGTTGTCCGATCCAAATTTGGTTCAAAATCAAAGTCTTGTAAAATGGGAAACAGAGAGGGGACTTGAATTTATTCATAGACAACAGCACAACAACAGAATAGGCCACTAATTTATTTAACAGATTATTGTATTAGCCTACCATGATAACATTATTCCCATTTAACTTATAGGAATTGTTTCCAAATGTGTATCTGCAAATTTTACACAACTTTCTTTCCATTCTCTTTCATTGACATAGTTCTCGTACACTTACAGTGCATTAGTGCTCAGTTGTAACTGTGATCCTCACAGGAACCTTTGAAAATACATCTGTGCTATCGACCACCATTCCTATCCCTATTGCAGATGGGGGAGGGAGGGGTCTGAGGCAACCTAGTATGAAATGATGGCACAGGCAGGACCAGAACTTGAGCTTCTTGATCTGTTGCTCAGATAGTGATGCTGTCTGTTCTTGTGCAAGAATGCCTTATGATGCCAGCCTGATAGGTCTATCCAGAAACAAATGTCATGAAGCTCAACAACACACTGTTATGAGTATCTCCCTGAGATCGTTTCTCCACAAAGGATAGAAGACGCAGAAGGCAGCTGCTTGGGAAGAAGGTTTTATATGGGTCAGAAACAGTTCAAAGCTTGTTTCTGGGACAGTTGACAACGGACTGATACAATAACATCAGCAAGACTTATATATATATATATATGTCTTTGGTTCTTTGAGTGAAATATGTTTTTATGACCATGAGAAAGCAGGAAATAGAATTTTTATGGTTGGCGGAAATATTCTGTTTGTTAACTTCTTTATCAGCATAGATCTTCCTGGCCAGGCAGAGGTGCTAAATTTCCAGGCCTTTTCCACTGTTAGATTCCTGCCTGTCAGTGATCTATTGCCTTTAAGAAAACATTGTATTTTATAAGTGGTGATGGGTTCTTTGACTCAAGATCAGAAGGCTGTTAAAAGGGGGGGGGGGCAGATCAAAGGCTTTTTACCTTCTATCAACTGCAAAGGTTAGAAACAAGAACTGTTATATTCTATGGCTCTCTTAAGTTTATAAGTGGCATAAGATTAGTTAGAATTGGTATACGTGTGTTATGGTTGGATTAATGCTGCATTTTTAATTAAAAATTGTCATCTTTAAAAGGATTTGACATAGGTTAAGCAGGAGAGAGCAGAAACAAAGTTATATGTTCCTTGCAGAGGATTCTACTTTATAGAAATAAAGAAGAAAAATGCTTTCCCCTCCTTTTATGGTCCTGAGTGAACTTTAAAGCCAGCTCAGTTTTTAGTAACATTTCTTCCTATTAATCTGTCCTATCTACTGTCACTACTGATATTATAATTTGGGTTGTGTTCATTAGTATACTGCCTAGGTGTTATATTTGAAAGCTATAGCTTATTAATTGCAACCTTAATCAAGCTATGTATAATTACAAGATAAGGGGTCCAAACAGATGTCTTTCCTAAAGTACTACCAGGTATGGGTTACCAGCAATCAAATGAAACTCCCCAGCAATTATCTTGTGGGGGTCTCAACCTCTCCTTTCTGTGATGGCAAGATTTGAAGCCTCAATATTACAGCAGGGAGGCACAGTGAATGTCAAAAAACTGTTAGGAAACTCATTTTCATTCCTCCACACAGTTGAAACTACATTTAGTCTTGCTCACAGAATTCTGCTGCCTCTTGGTTATGTCTCTTGGTTTTCCCCCCAACTTATTCATTATATTCACATCTTCTGTAAAGTAATATAAGGAAAGTAAGGAACATGTTTGTTTACAGGTATGTGGGAGTCAGTTTATGGGACAGTGGGTGAATATGACAGTGTATAATGTGTGTGAAGACTGGGTATGAGCAATGGTGTGGGTATAGTATAAGGGTGTGAATGACAGTGAATTTGGCAATATATCATCATAGGGAGTTGCCATTTATCTCCCAATCTCTAAAATATCTGTCACTTGGCTGTCTCTTTACGTTCTGTATATGATGACAGCATTGCCACACAAATGGGTGTCTCATTACTTAAGATTATACAATACATGTCTTATGTTGCATTATCTTCAGACGTGTGCTGAACCCACGCAGGATTTGTCACAGTGCTTTTGACATCATGTGCCTGAAAAATGATACTGCAGTGTTCCTAGGAGAACTCTGATATCCATAGCATCTTTTTAAAGACCATCACTCAGTGATGGATGAATTAAGTTTGCAGAAAGATGTTCTGGAGAGCTACATGTCTCAGCAGTGCTTCACTGGTCACACTAGTGCAGGGGTGTCCAACCTTGGCAACTTTAAGACTTGTGGACTTCAACTCCCAGAATTCCTCAGCCAGCAAAGCTGGCTGAGGAATACTGGGAGTTGAAGTCCACAAGTCTTAAAGTTGTCAGGGTTGGACACCCCTGCACTAGAGGTTTTGCTTATATTAAAGAGGGGGAAATCCTTTCTCAATGTTTAAAAGTATGGTAGATAATAGCCTATCTCAAAATTGACCAACTTTGGACTTTTCTTCTCTTGCAAAATACATTTTCTTGGTACCAATGACTATTCTAAGCTTACTGACAGTTTTGCTCATTAATCTCTCCTCCCCCCACGCTTACTATCTGAAATACAATTATGCCCAGATAATTCAAAGCAGTTGGAACATGAATTATAACATTTAATTCAGATCATCATAGATGCTGGTGTACAACAAGACTAGTACAAAGTAATTCATAATTTCCAGATGGACAGAATATTAGCATCTGTTACTGAAACTGCAGCTACTGAATGGATAGAAATACATTAAACTGGTGATGCTGGCAGTGGATATACTGTGCTAAGATTACTGACTTATGAAGGAACGTAGCATGCCTTAGAGATAGATTGGAAGAGGTTTCTGACTGTATTCTTCTGGCTGTTTCTCCACACCTATGGGCATTACCAAATTTGGCTTCAAAGACACTCAGAATGTGAATTAAGTTCTCCCCACTGATAATTTAATGTAATTGTGGAAAATATCCATTTGAATGTTTTCTGGCTTCTTGCTGTTGAAGTATTCAGGTTTTATGCAACTACAGAACCTGTATAACAGTACAGTATGCTACACAAACTATTTTTTGGGGTGGCGGCAGAGGCGGTATTCAGCAGGTTCTGAACAGTTCTGGAGAACCGGTAGTGGAAATTTTGAGTAGTTCGGAGAACCGGCAAATACCACCTCTGACTGGCCCCATCTATTCTCTGCCTTCTAAGTCCCAGCTGATTGGCTGGGTCTTCTTTTGTTGCCCTGAACAGGAGAACAGAGCTGGAAAGCAGGTTAGTGGGGTGGGGAGGGAATGGGGATTTTGCAGTATCCTTCCCCTGCCACGTCCACCAAGCCAAGCCCACAGAACCAGTAGTAAAAACTTTTGAATCCCACCACTGGGTGGGGGAGTTGTGGGTGATAAACATGCCATAGTTTTAGTTTGAAAAACCTAGTCTTTTTTTCCTGATTTTGATTGTGTCAGTTAGCTCATCACTAATGATCCCTACATAATAGCTGTTGCACTATTACATCAAGATTACTTACAGTAATCCTTTCTCTTTAATTTTCTATGGGCTGCAAATATCCAAATTGTTCTGCTTCCACAATCACCTGTATGTTATATTAATAACTCCGTGGCAGTTTGTGCAAGATGTTTAAGATAAAAATAAGCATAAGCTGAAGACTCTTGTGCAAATGTGTACAAGCAGGAAGATCATGAAATAAAACTCAAGTAAGTTATGAAAGAGTATGGTTAGAAGATAATGAAAGTTAACACCAATGAAAGTTAATACCAAAGGTGAAATCAGGGCAGAACTATATGAACATCAGCAGAGTATTCTCCCTAGCATTTTATCCAAATACATTGGAATGTAACTGCAAACATCTTCCATATATCAATTGTAAGTTAGTTTGTAGTGGGAGACTGCTTCATGCAATCTTGTTAATAGCTTAGGGTAAATGTTTCTTTTTAAAGGCAGAGATGGAAATTTTTTAAGGAAAAGATAGAGTTGGAAGTGACCTCAGAAGTCACATGGATAACTACCCATTCAAATTTTGGATTTGGTTTGAAGGACTCCAGTATGGGAATCATACTACTCCATGAGGCAATTTATTTCTTACAATCAGTAAATCCCTTCATATTTCTAACCTGAATTTGACACTTTTTAAATTATCTTGCCCACCTGGATGACAGAGAACAGGGCCATTCCTTCTATGTCACAACTCTTCAGATTTCTAAAAATTGCTCGAACTGTTCTTCATAGGATTTGGCTTTTAGTCTCCGCATCATCCCTCCTCTGAAGTAGCTCCAGTTTGTTGATTTTTCTTTAGTCTATTGTGACCAAAATTGAATATATTATTCCAAGTCAGGCCTAGCCAAGGCAGAGTAATAGCAAATAGCATTGTTATTTAAGCTGCTGCATCATAAATTGGCTGGAGGTTTTTCATATGTACTGTTGCCAAGCCAGGTCTCATATCTTATACTTGTATATTTTATTTTATTTTCTTCCCTTATGCAGCCCTTTACATTTCTTACTGTTGAAATTCAATCCTGCTAGTTATGACCCACTGCTGAAGCCTATATAGCTCTTTTAGAAT